AGCAAAATATATACACTTTATTCATATATTCCAAAATGTATAAACTGCTCTGCATTCAAAGAAGACGTGTGTAGCATACAAAAATACACTATATAGGTGGTCATTTTAAACCTAGTACAAATCATGAAACAACCTTAAAAACATGATGCCAAAGCTACAAAAACCAAGGAGGCTAATTTGGGAAGAAAAGTTTTCAACCAACATCAAAATATAGAGCTTGCTTCCTTTCTAGGGCAGGAAATTCCAGGGAACTGGAGCAGCAGTGCTTAAGAACACATACTCAAGTCACAACATGCTCTGTGAACAGGTGCATCTGTCACCATGAACAAATCTTCATCCACAGATCTCAGCGACTGAGGTAGGCTGTCCTGGGAGAGACGGCTTCTCAGACCTCTTAGTCCATAAATGTCTATGAGTTTTTACAAAAGCAGTCAAACCTTGAATCTAGCTAAGTAGCAAACTGGCAGCCAGTGCAATGCTTTCAAGCAAAGGTTTTCCTAAATAACTTTTTTTTTGTACTAGTCGCAGCCGCACATAAAGCACGTTACAGAAATCAAGGTGAGAAGTTATTCTGTGGCTCACTGTTGGCAAGCTCTCTCTATCAAGGAACAGTAGCAGCTGGCATTTCAGTCAAAGATGGGAAAGGGACTCCTAGACAGACCAGTGGGTCATTCGCACATGCACCAATAGTACCTGACCATTGGTTGGGAGTGATGGAAACTGGAGTCCAACAACATCTGGATGGTCACAGCTTCCACACTCCTGCTTTAAAGCGTCTTCTTTAAAAAAGTTGCTAGCTACACCATACATTGTTTGACCACTGTTGCCTTTTAAACTCTGATCCCAATAAGCCCACTTGCTGTTCCCACTTTCCATTTAAGTCTGTCTCCTTTGAGAGCACTAAGGAAGGACCAACATCAAACTTCTTAGCCATTTATAGGAGATGCTGACTGTTTCCCTAACTGTCAAAGCTATGAACATCTTTGATGAGAGCCAAACATAGTAAGAAATAAAGATTTGCCAGACATAGAATAAGTGACCATATTTACCATTCTGAGTCCTCTTGCTGTGCTTTAACAGGAGCAGGATTTTCAAATACTGCTTCCTTCTACAGCACCAACGTTAGTAACCACTAGAAATACGCCTTCTTCATGTTGCACAAGAAGGGATTTGTTTATCTGCCAGCCAGTTCTTCAGCATCCATTCTCAGCCTCCTCAACATGGCAGTAATGCTGTGGCAACTATTTTAGCTATTAGACATCTTCATGGAAAACAATGGCTCAATGTTCTTAGTAGAGAATTACATACCTCTTAACTCCCGATTCATGCACACCTCAGAAATTCCACTAATGAGGTCAAGTGGGCGGCAAGGGAGGATGCTTGTTGTCCTTTTTGATACTTATTTGTAACGTTATGACATTTTAAAATGTTGTGATTTGCTCGTCACGTAAAGGTCATGGCCTCTTCTCAGCTGGTGGGGCAAGGCCACGGTTGAGGTCCAACACAGATTCCCGTGGTGGGCACAGATCCAGCTTGGGCATGATCATGGAAGGCTGCCCATTTTGCAGCCATAGCAGGTGACCTTGTGGACATGGCTTGGAGGATGGACTGGAAAGAAGACTGAGGGTGGAGTTTGTTCCTCTGGTCCACTCCTGGGCATAAAAGCCAGCTGCATGCAGGCCCCAACCTGGACTCTGATGAAGACAGGCATTGCTGGAGGTTCTTGAAAAAGCTGAAAAGCTTTGGAGATCCTGGGCCATGGAAGCAGATGAAACGGAGATTTAAAGGGCCTCTGAAATGGCCAAAGAGGTTTTTCTTTGGCAGCGGCAGCAGCAGCAGCAGGCTGGGAGAGCTACTGAAGAGCAGCAGCGGCAGGTCATGGTGGCAAGCAGAGACCAGGCACTGGAGTGAGGGCTGTAGACATGGGTTCTACCCTTCATCCCTCCTTTTTTTTGGCCTGTGCTGAACCTTTTATTTGTCCTAGCTAGAGGCCTTTCTGTATCAGGCTTATGCTATACCCAGTTCTAAACCTCTTCCGCATATATAGCTTCACCAAATCACACGGCTTTAATTTCAACAGCACCCAAATCCAGCTTTACCTCTTGCACTCTGATTAATTTTTTAAAAAACTGTTTTATTATGCTTCTAATTATTTTCTGGTATAGCTTAATTAAGGATTATTTAATGCCCTAATGGATTTGCTATTCTATGTGCACAGTCCAGGGTTCTGATTTGGATCAGAGAGAATAAACCTGAGCCAGAAAAAGACTTTACTGCCCAGTCACAAATATCACATTTGGGTGCAAGGTTCTTGTGGCAGTGATGGTTGTGTAGCATCAGCTGCACTTTCATGAAACAGACTATCTAGACTCATGGTTCCCAAGATGGGGCACACGCCCCAGAGAGGGGCAATTTGATTTTTAAGGGGGGAGTTGGAGAATGAGTTATTAACAGTTAATGGCCCTTTAGGCTTCCTCCACATGAATAGTTCACTTTTTGAATAATAAGAATTGTATGTCATGGGGGGGGGGAGGGATCAGGATTTTAGAGATGCTTAGGTGGGGCATGGCCACTGATCTGGATGCATTTCCATTTGACTTCAGAATGGATTTTGGTGCCAAAGCAGCTTTGGTCACCCGGATCAAAGACCTGTATTGGGAGTACGGGGAAGTGTAATCCTTAATCCCTTAAAGGCTTTTAATACAGTGGTACCTCGGGTTAAGAACTTAATTCATTCCGGAGGTCCGTTCTTAGCCTGAAACTGTTCTTAACCTGAAGCACCACTAATGGGGCCTCCTGCTGCTGCCACGCCGCTGGAGCACGATTTCTGTTCTCATCCTGAAGCAAAGTTCTTAACCCGAGGTACTATTTCTGAGTTAGTGGAATCTGTAACCTGAAGCGTATGTAACCTGAAGTGCCTGTAACCCGAGGTACCACTGTACTATTGGTTATAGTATGCTCCTGGACCAGTTCTGCAAGGTGGGAGTGGGAGATACTCAAGTGCTGCAGTGCTTCCACACCTACTTGAAGGACTGGTTCCAGAAAACAGCAGTGGGAGTCTTGTGTTTGGCCACATAGCAGTTATGCTGTGATGTACCTTAGGTTTCCCATGCTTTATAATATCTCTACGAAGCTATTGCTAAGTTGAAATCTGGGGTTACAGGATAATGTGTCATCAATACACAGATAAAACCCAACCCTATTTCTCTATGTTACTGGAAGTTGGTCAAGTTGTGCAAATGTTGGAGTGATTTCTAGGGTTGCAATGCATTGGATGATGGCTTAATCAGAATCTTGACAAGACATAATTCATGATTGCATAACCACGTCAGATGCAACTTCTTCCAGTCTAAAGGAGGCTTCACTATCCCTTATCACACATGGTGGGGCAGAGCCACCCTCCCAACCAGCTGCTTTCTTGGACCAGGCTGGGTTAGGTAGCAGTAAGGTTTGGGCCCAAACGCCAGCCTAGTATAAGTAAGCAGCAGTGATATCAGTATTAGCTGGGTGGTTCCACAGTTCAGCTCCGCCACATGCAACAGCACTACTGATCACTTCTGTGCATTACCCCCTTTCTAAGAGGAATTTATTTTATTTTCTCAGGAAGGAGGAGGAGAGATTCATAGGGACAGGAGGGGAATCGAAATTTGTGACCTATTTTTGATAATGCAGTAGGGGAGGGAAAGTCTGTTTTATGAGCAATCCTTGCAAAAACTGTATTTTTAATTAAAAACAATCAAACTCTTGTGATCTTGCTAAGCACTTGCAAGGAATGTTTGCAATACCCAGCTGAGTTTTGGGGAGGCAGGATGGTGCTTAATCATTTCTACTCTCCTATACACCTCTTTCTGCATCTTCTTATAAACTGCACCAAAGAGTAATGTCTCGTTATGGAAATATGGCAAGCAACTGGATTTCATTCATCATTACCCCAATCATAAGTTACCATATTTGAGTTGAGGGCAGTTCCATGTTGAAGCAATGGAGGAACCACGCTTCTAGTCCCACTCCAGCATCACATCTCCTTACCCAACATCAATGCATCAATGGGAGTCCTCATAAGGGAGCTGGTCCTGGAGGAAGAACTGTGAGGGGAGAGACTTCATCAGGCAAGGCCTCCTTCCACCTGCCTTGCTCCACCCTCTAGTCTCTGCTTCTCAATTTGTATTGTATTATTTTATGTACTGTGGCTTGCCGTTGTTTTAGTGCTTATAGTTTAGAAATTATTTATTGTAACTGTTGAGTGGATTTCTGTTTAACTTTTATATGTTGATATTATTCTTATTTTATACTATTCTAATGATTGTTGAATGTTACTTTTATGATGTAGGTTGCTTGTTTTAAAGTTTTGTTTTGTTTTCACATTTTTGTACTGCATTAGATTGTTATAAGATGTACATTTCTTCAGCTTGTAAACCGCCTTGGGTATTGTAAGCTAGAAAGATGGTATACAAATTAAAAATGATGATGTTGATGATGTGGTCCTTAAGTGTCTTGTTGCTCAGCCCTGGTGCCCCTAAATTCTTCTGGTGAAAATTCACAATTTGTTTTTTCTCTGTTTAGAAAAAAATATTGCAGGATAGGCCTCAGCTTTTTCTTTTGGGTGTGCAGGTTCCTCATCCTCCCTTCTCCAACCCTCCTTGTCTCAGTTGCTAAAGAGGGTTTCTAGATGGTCTGTTTCAGAATCATTCCAGGCCTTTGATTGGTCTGGTCAGTCTGAAAGGCCTGACAATGAAAGGGAGGTGTCTGCTGAGCAAAGTCAAAAGATATTACTAAATCAGTGGGATTTCTCTGGACTGGTTCACTCACTGGATATCCTCTGCCTCTCATGCTATGTCCTTGCAGTGATAATTGAATGGTAGTTGTCTCTGTTTAGCGAAATGTCACAAGACAGGCCCCAGCTCCTATTCACCTCAGTTATGTGGGCAGAGGGATTGATTCTCTGTGTAATAATTTTATTAGTTTTCAATTACACTAACCCAATAAAAGCCTCATTGTCAATACCAAATTATAATACCAAATTATAATACAATTATTAATGCCAAATGTTCAGATGCCAAATTATATTATTTTGTTGGCTCCCTGCATGCCAGAATTGATAATTTGATAATTTACTTAAACTCTGCATTCCAAAAACTTATAAATTCCAATGACACACCAGTCATAATAACAAACCCTTATACCGCATCTGCAATTTTAATGACTTCCATTTGCATTAGCACATCAAATAATTTACAGTCCTTCAGGTGAAGCCTTCAAACTCTCTTTTTGCTCTTCTTGTGTGTGGCTATTATTCTGTCCTTGTACTTTATTATGTCTATCTTTTGTCAGTTGTTGCTGTTATCCATCATACCTTGGGCGGAGCTAGTATTCCATTGCTGTTTATTAAGTTCTCCATTGCACAGTTCCAAGCTTCATTGTTTTGCAACTCAAGCAAACTGTGGGTTTCAGTGGCCTAGAAGGGCTCTCCATGTTAGCAGGGCACAGGGTTTGTTGTGACAGGTGTAAAAGAAAGGATGGTTAATAAAAGATAGTGAATTAAATCTATTATAGCAAAATATTGATTTACAGAGACTTCCCCATCCACTCTATGATTTTGCAGTACACCAGTTTGGGGGCATTGAGGCCCCAGATGAAATCCCAGTGGTTCCAATATGATATATTTTTGTAGTAAACTAGGTTAGAGATGCGAGAAACTAAGATGGCTGTATCTCCTGGGCTTGCAATGATGTCATTCCCACCAGACCACACTGCAGTTGGGACACTCATGTCTTCTACTTTATACAAAGGCGGAACACTCTGGAGAGTAAAAGACAGAGGATCATTAAACACCCATAAACACACAAGTGTTCTTTGTGACAGCACCTTGACACAATTCAGACTACCTATGGGCTGTTCACAGGTTTATATGGAAGATAGATTTTCCTTCTTCCTAACTAGAACACTCATGGACTGCTAGCATGCTTTAAATTGGGATGAGTGAATCCACTGAGGCTCTCCTCGGATTAGCTGCTGTCTCCCCCCGGCCCCATTTTGCAACCAAAACCCATATAAAAATACAGTAATTGTACCTCTGTTCTCTGTAGAAATGATTTAAACCGCTTTTAGAATTTGTTGTTTATATATTTGCAAAAAAGTGAATTAAAAAACCCCCAAACCAAGGGTGGGGGGAAACCCTGAGGCAATCTGAGTGGCAGTACAAGCTCCCCTGAAGAGCTACCCCTGTGGTCTGTGGCCCATCATGCAGCTGGAATGATTATGAGAGGAGGAGAGTTCTCATTTCTTTGCTGCCAGCACCATGTCTCCCTTCATGGGAATGGCGGAGTGTTTGAGGTGATGGAAATGGCTCTGGGACCCCCTCCAAGCACACGGAGCTTGATCTGAGTGAGGAAAAGGAGTTGGGGAGTTGGGAGATTCACCCCACATTTTGAGGAGGTGGTAGAGTGCCTGCTTTGCATGCAGAAACCGCTGTCTGAAATCATGGAGAGCTGCTGCCTTGGTGTGACACAACTCTGAGCTAGATGGACCAGCGGTCTGAATCACTGTAAGGCCACTTCCTCTGGGGGTCTCTCTTACTGCAGAGTTTGTTTCCAAGCCAGGCTTCTGCATCACGCCTGCTTATATTAAAAATAAAAATAAAACTCAGGATCGAACTGTCGTATTTGGACTAACTAAGAGTACTGGAGCTTGAAACGAAATAAGAATATCATTCCCTGAAATCTAGAACACGGATTGTTTAATTTGGTATTGGATAATTGGCTTTTTAATCGTATTATAATTTGGTATTGTATTAATGTGGCTTTTATTGGATTGTTATAAAATGAAAATTAATTAAAAATTGTTGTTTTTTTAAAAAAGAACATATTGTGGGAATGTGGCGTAATTAATTCCATAGTCTATGGTAAGTGAATACTGAGTTTGCCTCTTCTTTAAGGGCTTAAGACTTGGTCTTCTAATCACATTCTTTAGTTCCAGGTTCTTGACCCCACAATGGCCAACTGGGTTATCCCCACAAACTGTGGAAGATCACCTGGCTGGCTGTGGTTTCTCCATAGTAACTATGGTAATCAAGAGATATTCCTGCTTCTGAAATGGAGAGTTGTAGACAAGCTAGTCCTATATCTGAGTAAAACCTATTGAAAGCTATACATGGCTGTCAGGGCCATCAGGTCCCAGCTCACAAGAGACCAACGCCAAAGTCCCTTTAATTACAAAAGTCTTTATTGAAGTACATTGTTTTTTCCCACAGCCGAGGCGCGCAGCCCCACGTCTGTTATGCTTAGACCGTCTGTAAGTCCCCTCTGAATCAGTCCGCCTCTACAACCAGTTTAAGAGGCTTAGTTGGATACAACCCATTTGAGGGTTGCTATGAGAATATGACAGGGAGGAGGAGAACCACATATGAGCTCCGTGGAGGAAAAATGGAATACATATAAATAAGTGAAGAAACTTATTTTTTCACCATAAAAATTGTTCTCTCTTACCTGGTTATATCTTGCCTCATTCTTGTTCCCATAGTCAAAATACCTGAATAACCCTGAATCTCTTATCTATCAAAATAATAGGAGAGCCATAGAATTAGATAATGCATTAATTAAAATACATATTACTTATGTATACATATTTAATTAAAATACATATTACATATTAAAATATATATTACTGAACATTGTGAAAACTCTGCCACTGCTGGTATTATCAGCAGACAGCTTGAAGCAGAACAATAGCACCAACTTAAAATGGTTTAATTGTGGTTAGAGGCTTCCCAGGGAATGTTAAGCACACTAACAATTCCAGTATTCTTTGGTGGAAGCTCTAACAGTTAAGTGTTATAGCGGGGCCTCCCTTAAAGAGGGCACGTATTGCAGTGAGACCTGGACAACCAACTCCCTGTGTTGTGGGTAGGTATGATTGGTCAGCCACAACACCCGATTGGTAGGTCCCTCATAGCTGGGTGCAATCTGGCCAATGGGACGCAGTCCAAACGGTTCAAGGGACCTATTTATACCCATGCACGTGACCCAAAGCTTCCTCTTTCGGCGCGTGCATTCGGAACACCCGTCCACCTCTCCCTACTTTTAGGGCTTTGTGCTTGACCTTGCTATGCTGCCGTGTGTCATCTGTCATTGGGATAGGGGCACGGCAGGAATTTTTCCCACTTGGCTGATTGGCTGTTGCCATTTGGGTTTCGCCTGCCGCGTAGCAAATCGTCACAATTTGTAAGGTTGTGGATAGGCTCTGGTTCAAGTGATAGGGATGGGAGAACACTCTCGCCATCCCTATGTGAAGGGAATTCCGTTAAAGGAATCCAGGAACTCAATGGTTTGGTCAACCCCCAGGAGGGGGTTGTGCCTGTGCCTGATTCCAGGGGGACATTTGGGTGGTGGAGATAGCTTGTTCCCAGCTTTCCGCTTATCCAGGTGTTCACCCTTGGCTGACCTATGCTGGAACCCTGGGTCAGTGCTACCTGCACGGCAGGGAGCTAGTCGAACCAGAACCTATGCAACCATTCACTTTCTGTAATCAATAAAGTTGTGGCCTAAATTCTGCCAAAAACCAAAACCAAGATTTGAGTCAAGTGTGAATTTATTTAGGGTTTTAGAGGCTTCTGGGTCTGAACACACAAATGCAGTCAATATGAGTTTGCAATTTTTGACAGACCGTAGAACCATAGAACCCTCTTGACCACCACATCTGCTTAAAAGTGCACAACTCTACCTGTTTCCAGTGTAGAAGGTTTTTAGATGATGTTACATCTGGAAAATGAGCTGCATACACATCTGCACGGCTCTGTGAGAAACATTTGATTTGAAAAGCAAACACATTTTTAAAATTTATTTTTAAAAATAATAATCTGAGGAACAGGCAAAGGAAACTACATCTGTAACTAGTCTAGAAATAAGGTGAGTAGGATAGCATACAACATGGGTAGGCAAACTAAGGCCCAGGGGCCGGATCCGGCCCAATCGCCTTCTAAATCCAGCCTGCAGACAGCCCGGGAATCAGCATGTTTTTACATGAGTAGAATGTGTCATTTTATTTAAAATGCACCTCTGGGTTATATGTGGGGCCTGCCTGGTGTTTTTACATGAGTAGAATGTGTGCTTTTACAGTGGTACCTCGGGTTACATACGCTCCAGGTTACATACGCTTCAGGTTACAGACTCCGCTAACCCAGAAATAGTGCTTCAGGTTAAGAACTTTGCTTCAGGATAAGAACAGAAATCAGGCTCCAGCAGCGCGGCAGCAGCAAGAGGCCCCATTAGCTAAAGTGGTGCTTCAGGTTAAGAACAGTTTCAGGTCCGGAACGAATTAAGTACTTAACCCAAGGTACCACTGTATTTAAAATGCATCTCTGGGTTATTTGTGGGCATAGGAATATGTTCATCCCCCCCCCAAAAAAAATATAGTCCGCCCCCCCACAAGGTCTGAGGACCAGTGGACCGGCCCCCTGCTGAAAACGTTTGCTGACCCTTGGCATACAATTATGCATGGTGCAGAGGGAGAGGGTTTGGGGTTTCACCCTCTTGTATTTCAAGAACCTGAAGCCACCCAGTGAAGCTTTGGGTTGGCAGATTCAGGACAGACAAAACAAATGATCTTTGCCACCCAGTGCATGGCTCAACTGGGAATTGGCTTCTGCAAGATGCAATGCTGGCTTTGAAAGGCGTCGAGAAAAAATCACGGAAGACAGATCAGTCAGTGGCTGCTTGTCAAGGTAATGTCCAACACCATGCTGTGCTTTTGAAAGTATTAAAAGCAGTGCCATTTTTTCTAGAAAAAGAGGTCCTGGACCTCACCATGATCGCCTCCCTCTTTCTCTTAGAATGGCAACAGTGCCCACCTAAGAGATGCCGGTGAGTTCCAGCTGAAAAAAGGCCCTGACTTAAAGTATTTTAAAAGCCCAGTCATACTGCTATTCCTTTGATTATATCTGAATTTCTTGTTGTATGGTATTTTGTGTTTGCATAGTACTTAGGGATTGGTTTACATGAAATGCTAAGCCAAAAACCTTGACTTAGTTCCAAGTGTGAAGATTCCTGGGAAGGAGTTTGCTACATTCCTCTCGGGGTCCTCCTGCTCTTGCACTGCTGCGAGCTGAGCCATGGTTTGGCTTAGCATGTCACGCAAACACAAGTTCATGGTTTGTTTCCAGTCTAGACAAACCCTGAGCTGTAAACCCAGGAACTCTAATCTCTCTGGGATCCCATTTGCTCACCTTTCATGTTTAGCAATGGTCGCTCGAGCTGCTCCACATCTGCCTCTCTCAGGTTTCCAAGGCTGAGATAAGGGAGGGAATATGGGAGTAATTAGCCTCCCCAAAACTCCTCCAGGGTTGTAGAGGAGGCAGATTCAGGTGCAGTTGCCCAATATCTGCCACCCATCCCGAGGGATTGTGGGGGCAGAGGGCATTGAGTGGAAAACACACATGCCTAGGTAACTCTCCAAATGTCGTTGTCATGAGCAGAGGGCTCTTTTAAAAGATAAAATTCAGACTTATTTAGCAGGCTTACTTTGAACTAGCAGAGAGAAAATAACTTGCAAATTTAACCAGCCACTGAGAAGGATTAGATCTGGAGAAAGACTTTTGCTACAACTTAAGACGCTGCTTGGGATATGTGAGTAGACTTTAAACCTAACGAATGAAAAGGATTGTGTGAAATCTGGACTATGAGTTAATTAAGAGGAGGATGAAAGGACTCCCCAGTTTGATTTATTGTATTAGCGCAGAAGCAATATTTCATAAACAGCTGGAGAGACGCCAAAGAACTTTGGATGTTTGCCTGAGATTTATGGTGGAGTGGAGTGACGCAATTTAAAATCTGCAAGCAGCCACAGAGAACTGAAAGTAACTTTGCTAAGTCTGACCAGCTTGTTGAATCAACATATGGATTACCGGTAATTATATAGTTCCAGGGGGAGGTAAGCCTTTAATGTTCTATTTCTTGATATCTGTATTCCCAGTTATATATGGTAAAACCTCCCCTGGAAAGGCTACTACTTAAAAAACAGCTGGTTTGGAAAAGCATTTGGTAGCCGCTTTGTTTTGTTTATATCTGGACTGAGTGTGGACTTGGCAGCTACCTTCAGTGGGAAAAATCCTGGTCTGAGTTGTTAAGATCTGGCAGAAATATCAGCTTGCAAAGAGATGCTGTGAACGCGCAGAGGGGAACCCGGGAGAGTTGCCAAGGGCTGCTGGCGTCTCTTTGTTTGAGACTTGGAATATTACGGCCCTTGAGAGCAGAAATATAATATGGATTTCAACAAGGAAGATTCCACACAGATTTATAAAAGCGAAAGTTGAACAGACCAGTGGCTGAAGGAATAAAAATAAATAAAAGACAGAAGGATTAACATTGGAGTGGTTCACTGAAGAATTATGAAATGCAATGCGAAATTGGTTGATCAGCACTCCGCGAACTTCAGAGCATGGGAAGACACTCAAAAAGATAGATAATCCAGCATTTGTATTTGGCTTTTTTTATGATTAATTGTAATTTGGAATGTTTTAATGGGGTTTTAATTGGTTTAAAATGGAAAATTTAATAAATATTATTTCCAAGAAGAAGAAGAAGAAGAAGGGGAAGAACAAAAAATGTGCACAGATTTGTTTCATTGAAAACACATTCTGATCTGAAATCATATCATGTGCAATCTGGACATATGCCAACCCACGAAGGCTGCAATGCTGTACACGTTTTCCAGAAAGTAAGTTCCATTGAAGTCAGTGAGACTTGCTTCTGAGTAGGCCTGCATAGGATTGTGGTGTAATGGTGCAATTCTAGGCGTATGTACTCAGGAGTAAGTCCTCTTATGTTTCCAAGCACAATTCAAAGTGTTGGTGCTGATCTTTAAATCTCTAAATGGCCTCAGGCCAGTATACCTGAAAGAATGTCTCCACCACAATCGTTCTGCCTGGACATTGAGATCCAGCACCGAGGGCATTCTGGCGGTTCCCTCACTGCAAGAAGAGTAATTGCAGAGAACCAGGCAGAGGGCCTTCTCGTTAGTGGCGCCTGCCCTGTGGAACGCCCTCCCATCAGATGTCAAGGAAATAAACAACTATCTGACTTTTGGAAGACAGCTGGTCAGCCTTGTTTAGGGAAGTTTTTAATGTTTGATGTTTTATTGTGTTTTTAATATCCTGTTGGAAGCCGCCCAGAGTGGCTGGGGAGGCCCAGCCAGTTGGGTGGGGTATAAGTAATTAATATTATTATTATTATTATTATTATTATTATTATTATTATTATTATTATTATTATTATTTCTGTTCAACAGGACTTTTCCAGTGTGTAAAGCATTTTCATCTGACTCTAACCAAGATTTCAATTAGCCATGGAATTTTTGCTCCCTTTGGAAGCTTTTTGCCTCAAAAACGAAAGCTTGTGAAAAGTAGAACATATAACTAAACCAGTAATCAACTACTATGCCTTCTTCACACATCTACATACCATATTTAGATTTGTTGCATTGAATCCACCCGAAATAGTGAACATGAGGCGCGCACATAATTTCTGCATAAAAGAAGCGCGGCATAATTTCTGCATAAAGTCTCTCACAGGCTTGCGAGACAAAACAAATTCTCCTCTGGCAAGCATGCTCTGTAAAGATATAAAGACCTTACATATAATGAAGCTTTCATAAAGTGGCAAAATAAGCTACATGCCTCTAGGGAATTCCTTCTCCCTGGCTGCACCTCCTAAAAGGTTTAAATCGGAGACCAGGAGGAGGAAACCATGTGGTGACCATGTGCCCTCAGTGTGCCTGCATGTGCCAGCAGCACCTGCTGCATCTCCAACCTTCCCACATTCGCTGATAACACCCAGATCCAGTTACAGGGAGGTTTGTACGCCTGTTCAACCAAATCTACTTAAAAGTCCCCTTCAGACCTTCCAGTTCAATGCAGGAAGTTTGGGGGTGTGAACAGTGACAAAGCTGCATGCTCCGGCACCAGGGATAGAGAGTAGGTGGGGGAGTGGCTGGTGCACATCCCAGGGGCGTGGCACGTCACTTGTGGGGGCATGGCGTGAGCCCCGTGGGGGCATGGCATGAGCCTGGGGGGTGTGATGCACCGCCCGCAGGGGCATGATGCGCGTCCAGTGGGCTTGACGCATTGCTCACGGGGGCGTAGGCCCTGGCATGGTGGGGGGTGCATGGCATGTGTCCGGGGGTGGCCACAATTGTAGCCCCCTCCTTGATGGTGCCTGGGCTGGTGCGCTCTCCCCACGCCCCCCCTTCCTCTGTCAGTGGGTGTGGATAGGCTCATTTATTTCATTTTTCTCCGTTTCTCATTCTCCCATGCTTAAGCTCAGTTCTGCATAATTCCCACATCAAGTTTGTGATTAAAAAAAACCAAAAAAACAACAACACCAAGTCTGCATGAAAATTTCTGAGCAATGCACATTTTTGTATGCAATGTTGCCGAGCACACATAATTTTTGCAGAGCAATTTTCCCAATTATAATGCATTTTGTATGTTATTTTCACTATTTACTCTATATGAATATTTTACCCTGGTTTATGCATTTTTTGTACATATTACTTGGCCAGAAAACCATAATTTGGAGATGAGCAAATTTTGAAAGGGGGGTTGAATTTCCATTTGCAAATTCTTGATTTCCACGATCATAAAATAGTGATTGACGGGTACCTTGGATGAGTATTCAGGAAACATGGGGCTTATTTTCAACATAGGGCTTGTTGCATGCTGAAGAGAAATCACAGGAGCCAGGGCAAAAAACATGTTGACTTTCTGAGACAGTTCTGGTATGACTGAAAATGCGATGAAACCTGAAAGGGAGAGGAGGGCGAACGAGAAAAACACAGTGGGCGTTTGGAGCTGCTGATAACCATGTTAAGAAATTCATTCACCAGTTTAAAGGGTACTCCCTGCAGAGGCAGACTTAGGGTAGCACAACCGGCTTGGTCACACTAGGTGCAGATCCTTGGGGGCTCTGCTACTATAATTAAAGGCACTGAATTTTGGCATTTCACAGGGCACTACTGAAATGAGATCCACCTCTGCTCCCTGGCCCTATAGCAGAGGAGAACCTGTGGTCCCCCTGATGTTGCTGCAACACAACTCCCATCATTCCTGGCTGGAGCTGATGGGAGTTGGAGTCCAACAGCGTCTAGAGGACCACGGGTTCCCTATATCTGCCTTATAGGGACACTGGAGCTGCTGTTAGGAAACTGAGGGGCAGTGATGAGTGGAAAAACTCAACCCTCACCCCTCTTCACTTTAGGTTGAAGCCAGTTGCCAGTAAAGTAATGTAGGTGATTCTTTAAAAGTTTCTCTTTTACAGATATACTCATTAGGTGAATGAACAGATTTACAATGAACTCTGCCCCTGGAACTACCCAAAACTACATAACAACATCCTTATATCCAGTGTTATTTTTCTGGGGGGAAAGGTGTCAGAAGGTGTCAGAACTCACCATGAGTTCTCTTACAATGGCAATGGCGCCCACCTGAGAGGTGCTGGAACTGAGTTCTGGTAAGTTCTGGCTGATAAAAGAGCCCTGCTGGTACCTATTCTAGACTTCAGGTCATATAGGCATTTTTTAAAAGGTATCACTACACAGCAACTGTAATGTAATCTAAGGTATATGGGACAAGCACTGAGCTCTGTTTCCCTTGTTACTGCAAAGCCCTAAAATGGACCTCACACTGGGAAGGTCTGGACCATAGCTGTGTGAGCAGCAGGGTCAGCGTTGTCACGATAACTGTGGAACTTATTGTAAGGTTTTATTCTGTAACATAACAGGTTATTTTCATTCCCACTGAATAGCTGATGGTTGCAGGACGGGGGGACCCAGAAGGCCAATTGAAAACTGGATCTGGGGTGCATCTAGCCTGGGGGGTGGTTATTTCTGATCCCTGGTCTACTAGAAACCATATCCACCCGATATTCCCTCGAGAGTCCAATGTAACCTATAGGTGAGTCAAGCAAGAGCATGAAGGGAATGCAGGCAAATCAGTGCTGACAGATTCACAAAATCATTGCCAGTGCTGGGGGCAAGACTTGAATCCTTACAGCTGGCTCCAGGAACCAGAAAGGCAGAACATAGGACAATTTTTTGGAAAGAGAGAGAACAAGAGAAAGAGACAAAAATGGACCAGTCCACTTTAGCATACCAATGGTAGCGCCTTGAGAGTAGCCTACGTAATACAGTTGCTTCTGCCCAGTTTTCTTCAGAATGAAGTTGATAATTGCTGGAAGATCATAGACGGCCATTTCATGGAAACTGAAGAAAAGGTTTAAATGTTATGGCAAAATTAGTGACACCTCTTCATCTGAACTCCTAGATGTTCACCCAGAGTTGCCTTCTGGAAGGTTTTGCTTGAAATGTGGGTGCAGAACCAGGTGATGGCGCCACCATCCCTATTCTCCACTTTAATTTTGCAGCGGTGGCTTCCAGCAACAGAACATCACTAAACATCACACCCACACACCGTTTTTTCACTTCACACATGAATCTCATGAAGAACCATCACACATAAAAGCAGGCTGTAGGATGTGAAGATGTTCAGTATGTAGACTTCTACTTCTTTCCACACATTCTGGAATCGTGCAGGTCACAGTACATATGGCTGATTAGGGAGTGTCCAGATGTTGCGCTGACCCCCCCTGGTTGAAATTATCAATTTGTCCCTTGACATGGGGACATTCCCAGAGGAACTGAAGGAAGCAGTGGTGTGTCCACTCTTAAAGAAAACTTCATTAGATCCCTTAGACCTATCCAATTACCGCCCAGTTTCAAATCTTCCATACCTGGGTAAGGTAATTGAGAGAGCGGTTGCTGAACAGCTTGGTAGGTTTCTGGAGGAAACATCGGCATTGGATCCATTTCAGTCCGGTTTCCGTCCTGGTTTTGGGACGGAGACGGCTCTGGTTGCCCTAACAGATGATATCCGTAGACAACTAGATCGAGGCGGGTCAGGACTGCTGATCCTTTTAGATTTGTCAGCAGCCTTTGACATGGTCGATCATGATCTTCTGGACCACCGCCTCGCAGACGTGGGGATACAGGGCATAGCCCGTAACTGGTTGCGCTCTTTTATCTCTGGTCGGGGACAGAGGGTGGCACTAGGGAGGGAAATGTCGTCGCGCCACTCCTTGGTGTGTGGAGTGCCGCAGGGCGCAATTCTCTCCCCGATGCTTTTTAACATCTTTATGCGCCCCCTTGCCCAGATTATCCGGAGCTTGGGGCTGGGCTGTCACCAATATGCTGATGACACTCAGCTCTATCTGCTGATGGATGGCCACACCGACTCGGCCCCGAACACACTGACCAGATGCTTGGAAGCTGTGGCTGGATGGTTTCGTGGGAGCCGATTGAAACTAAATCCTTCGAAGACAGAGGTCCTATGGCTAGGTCGGGATGGCATGGGGATGAGGGACCAACTCCCTTCTCTTGCGGGGGCCCAATTAGTGCCATTGCCTTCCGTTAAGAGTTTGGGTGTAATCCTTGACGCCTCCCTTTCCATGGAGGCGCAAGTTACAGCAACAGCCAAGGCGACATTTTTCCACCTTCGCCGCATCAAGCAGTTGGTCCCTTACCTTTCCTGCCCCGACCTGGCCACAGTGATCCATGCGACGGTCATCTCCAGGCTTGACTACTGTAATTCGCTCTACGCGGGGCTGCCCTTGAAGCTGTCCCAGAAACTTCAGCGGGTATAGAATGCTGCAGCGAGGCTCCTCACGGGGTCTTTGCCATGGGAGCATATTCACCCAGTGCTTTTCAAGCTGCACTGGCTCCCGGTGGAGTACAGGGTCAGATTTAAGGTGCTGCTTTTGACCTTTAAAGCCCTTCACGGCCTAGGACCCTCGTACCTACGGGACCGCCTCTCCTGGTATGCCCCACGGAGAGCCTCAAGGTCCATAAATAACAACACCCTAGTGGTCCCAGGCCCTAAGGAAGTTAGATTGGCTTCAACCAGAGCCAGGGCCTTTTCAACTCTGGCTCCGGCCTGGTGGAACGCTCTGCCTCATGAGACCAGGGCCCTGCAGGATCTGATTTCTTTCCGCAGGGCCTGTAAGACAGAGTTGTTCCGCCTGGCCTTTGGCTTGGAGCCAATTTGATTCCCTCCCTCCCTCCCTCTCTTTCTTTTTTCTTTTCCTTCTCCCCCTGCAATGAGGCTACATTTTAATATTTTAATGTTCCATTATTTTAATGTTGTATTTTATTTTTGTTTTTAAGTTGTAATCATTCTTCTTGTTTTTATTATTACTTGTAAGCCGCTCTGAGCCCGGCCTTGGCTGGGGAGGGCGGGGTATAAATAAAAAATTATTATTATTATTATTATTATTATTATTATTATTATTATTATTATATGTGGAAATCCAACATGCGTAGAGATCTATAGCTTTTAGTTACTGTCCTGCTCAGTGTAACCCTATTGAAATTAAGCGTATGATGAGGGAAGGGGAAGGGATTTGATTCAGATTGCATTGAAACCTGAATTTTTCAAATTCGCACTTTCTAAGACAATATGACAACTGAACCACGGCCGTCTTTCAAAATTCATATTTATCCATATGTTGTGATGCCATCCTCCAACCAATCAAAAGTTTGCAAAAATACACATATTATGCAAAACTGTGAATAAAAATTAGTGAAAATGCCATGATAAAATGTGCACACCAAAATATATCAAGAGAAATCTGCACTAAAGCACTGAAGAATTTTCCTGAAGACTTGTTAAAAAGAAAATTTTCAAATTGCTGCAGATATGTGGAGAACCAAATTTAAGTTTGGGAAAAAATGGCAAACTGAGAGAACCAAAGCCAACAGATCCTTCCATCCCTAACTAGGAATAACAGGTTCACCCAGCCACAATGGTGCCCTCACATATGAATCAGGGGAAAGGGGCATTGTGAGGAATAAAAATGTTGCCTTTTCAAAAGGCCACAAGGCTGCAACGGTTAGATGACCGCAGACAGCAGAAACTTGCTTACATGTATTTTTAGAACAGCTTGTGGTTAGGAGGCTTATAGATAGGGCTGTTTGCAGCTGTTATGCGATTTATCTGTACGTTTCAACTAATATGGGACTCGGTTACACCCACTAGTGGTTGGGATGTGGATTTATTGCTTGAGTCAATGTGTAAAACCATAAGAAACATGGACCAAATAAGGAGAAAGGTAAACAGGAGTAGCAGTCGTTGGAACTAGAGTAATGGGAGATGTCAACAAAGGCGGGGATTTTAGTATTTTAATTAGGTGGTCATGATAGGCTGTAAACCCTGCATGTACCCAGCCAGTGGGGAAACAAGGGAGGGAACCTGTGCTTTGGGTATAAAGAATATAAGATTGTGCCTTGCCAATTTGGGCTGTTCCTACTTTGGACACCTGCTCTTGCATGAACGCATTGTACTCAATAGACTCTTTGCTGCTTCACCAATTTTGTTCAGAATTTATTTTGAGGGTCTTGGGATCCACATTTTACTTCTAACAGGCATCAGACATAGAAAATCACACATAGATCTGTAGGATGTGAAAAACCTCCAGCTTGTAGACTTCTACAGACAGATCCTTCCATCCCTAACGAGGAATAACTATTATGATCAACAACAGCACTCTGATTTTGCTGGATATAAGTTTATGCTGTGCAGATCTCTCCCGCTAAAGCCCATGCCTAACATGTAGATGCTGCTGGTAGGGATGAGAAGAGAGAAGAGTTCCATGACTTTGTGGTCAAAAAGTCTTTCAAAAAGGCAGGGAATATCTTAATTGTTTCAGCAAAATTATATCATTGCACTGGTTAATAGCCACCACTACCCCAACACAAACAAAATTCTGCTCACACATTGAGCATTGCCTCTGTTATGTAGACTACCTACCAGCATCTCTTTAGAGAAGATGATAGGTGCATAATTTGAAAGTTCATGGAATGTTTATCATCAGTTTGTGTATATCTGAATAACTGATGGCATGGGGCCTGTAGTGCAATAGTAGGAGTCCATTATTTACATGGATAAGGTCCCTACTTTGATCTCTGACATCAGCCCTGGAGAGGCACTGCCAATCACTGTTGAGATTACTCAGGTAGATGAGCCATGCTTGCTTTTGTAATGTGAATAATCTGAGTGAATAATAGGTGTTTGCAAATTTCATGAATATTTATTATCTTCCTAATTTAATAGTTAATGTGCAAGATAATACCGTCAATTGCTATGATATTGTTACTTTTTTCTATCCAAACTACCTGAAATCCCAAAATTCATCTTGGTCAGTTGACAGATTCTGGTGTCTCTGAGACCAGCTCGTTCCTCTGCTGTTCCCCATCCAAACATCATAGCCAGCATCTGCTAATATGAATCCGAAGCTGTTGTTGGCCATGTTTTCGACCCAGAAGCTAGCTTCTCCAAGTATTCCATGTTGCAGTAACACAACAGGCTTGGGACCTAGTTTAAAAAAGAAAATTTTAAAACAAAGCAGATGAGAATTTCCGTGCCATGATAACAAAGATGATTTTAAGAAATATATCTCATGTTCGGAAACCATCATTTATATTTCAGTCCATTATATCAATAACTTTGTTAGGCACATGAATCGGAGCCTTGACTGTAGAAGAGGCTTCTTAGCAAAGCCCTATTCAAGCATTCAAAAGAACATGTGAACACTGAAACAGGCGTCTGTGCAGCCAACAGCCCTGCTCCCAAAGCCCCCATATGCACTAGGGATGCGCACCCCACCACTGACTTTCCTGGAAAGTTTGAAGCGACCTTGAAAGCATGCTCTGCTCAATACCTTTCCATGTGCTTCTATGGGGATGCTTCCATGTGATTCTGACCAAGCGGGCTGCTTCTCACTTACAGAGAGGCTTGGAACTGCATTCAGCTGAAAGCACTTATGAGCCCCCTTCAGGCCTTCCTGTTCAACATAGGACAGTTGCAGTGGCAGATTTTAGACTTTTAAATTTCAGTGGTGCCCCCCACCTCTCACCTTTTGTTGTTCATCATAGCTGCAGCGCCCCCGAAACACCCTTTTGGCTTGGCACCCACTGCAGGCGAACCTGTGGCGCCCCCCTAAATCGGCTTTTGACACGAGGAGTGGAGCTGGTTTTCCTGCCCTTCCGCCCCTTCAGTTTCAGCCCACCTGTGATTCTGAATGCTTTTGTGGGGCTCTAGGGGTCATGCAATGGCCTTCTGGGACCAGTCGCTTCTGGGCTTGACTGAGGCTTTGAAAGCTTAAGTAAAGCTTTAGTATTTTCAAAACACGGCACTGGTTTAGCGATTAAGGCTTTTGTTATACCACTTCCATAGACTTAAAAGGTAAAGGTAAAGGTACCCCTGCCCGTACGGGCTAGTCTTGCCAGACTCTAGGGTTGTGCGCCCATCTCACTCTATAGGCCGTGGGCCAGCGCTGTCCGGAGACACTTCCGGGTCACGTGGCCAGCGTGACATCGCTGCTCTGGCGAGCCAGAGCCGCACACGGAAACGCCGTTTACCTTCCCGCTTGTAAGCGGTCCCTATTTATCTACTTGCACCCGGGGGTGCTTTCGAACTGCTAGGTTGGCAGGCGCTGGGACCGAACGACGGGAGCGCACCCCGCCGCGGGGATTCGAACCACCGACCTTTCGATCGGCAAGCCCTAGGCGCTGAGGCTTTTACCCACAGCGCCACCCGCGTCCCGTTCCATAGACTTAGGATTTGTTAAAATATAAATATATACCAGATACCTCTGACTGTAAGATTTTTTCTTCCAAAAGGTATTCTGTTTATTGTCAAATAATAGCCATCATCTGTTAAGACTTCATACTCTTCACTGGGGTATCCTTTGTAACAGATCAGCTCACTCTGAAAAAGAAATAAAATAAATTGCTGAGATGTTTTAATTCATAATGTTATAATCTGTCTGCCAGAGAGGAGACCACCTTGGGTGAATCCTGGTAGACCTACTCCATACCCCTCAAGTGTCCCAATTTAGCTGGGACATCCTGGATTGACAGAAGCCGCCCTAGGAATCGACATAGGCATATCTGCAGCCGCCACCCTGAGCTATGGAACTGGGTAAGTAAGTGGGCTGTGTCCACTCACACTGCTTCAGACACATCACATCCTGTCTGATTAAGACTCAGGCACGTCCCCAGAAGCGAGAAGTGCTTCAGTAGCAGGAAGCCAAGTCAGGCAGCTCTTCTTGGGCACTGACAGCGCTGAAGCAGGGCGTTCTCATGACTACCCACTCAGCCCTTCTCCAGCATCCAGCTCAGCACCTCCATACCCTCCAATGTTTCTCTGATGGAAATAGGGACATCTTATTCCATACCCTCCAACATTTCTCCAATAATAATAATAATAATAATAATTTATTATTTGTACCCCGCCCATCTGGCTGGGTTTCCCTAGCCACTCTGGGCGGCTTCCAACAAAGATAAAAAATACACTGAAATGTCACATATTAAAAACTTCCCTGAACAGGGCTGCCTTCAGATGTCTTCTGAATGTCAGGTAGTTGTTTATCGCTTTGACATCTGGTGGGAGGGCGTTCACAGGGCGGGCGCCACTACCGAGAAGGCCCTCTGCCTGGTTCCCTGTAACTTGGCCTCTCGCAGTGAGGGAACCGCCAGAAGGCCCTCGGAACTGGACCTCAGTGTCTGGGCAGAACGATGGGGGAGGAGACGCTCCTTCAGATATACTGGACCGAGGCCATTCAGGGCTTTAAAGGTCAGCACCAACACTTTGAATTGTGCTCGGAAACGTACTGGGAGCCAATGTAGGTCTTTCAAGACCAGTGTTATATGGTCTCGGCGGCCGCTCCCAGTCACCAGTCTAGCTGCCGCATTCTGGATTAGTTGTAGTTTCCGGGTCACCTTCAAAGGTAGCCCCACATAGAGCGCATTGCAGTAGTCCAAGCGGGAGATAACCAGAGCATGCACCACTCTGGCGAGACGGTCTGCAGGCAGATAGGGTCTCAGCCTACGTACCAGATGGAGCTGGTAAACAGCTGCCCTGGACACAGATTTGACCTGTGCCTCCATGGACAGCTGTGAGTCCAAAATGACTCCCAGGCTGCGCACCTGGTCCTTCAGGGGCACAGTTACCCCATTCAGGACCAGGGAATCCTCCACACCTGCCCGCCTCCTGTCCCCCCAAAACAGTACTTCTGTCTTGTCAGGATTCAACCTCAATCTGTTATCCGCCATCCATCCTCCAACTGCCTCCAGACACTCACACAGGACCTTCACCGCCTTCACTGGTTCTGACTTAAAAGAGAGGTGGAATGGAAACAGGGATGTCCTAAGTAAAAGCGGGGCATTCTGGGATCAAATCAGAAATTGGGACAGGTTCTGTAAATCCGGGACTGTTTCTGAAAAATAGGGACACTTGAAGGATCTGCACCTCTCAGGCCACTGGGCTACTCCCAAAGATCAACCCCCTCCCCACTCTCTTGTCCAGTTCTTCCTCCCCCCTTTGAGCCACTCTGCCAAGAAGTCTGCACAGAGTTCATGACAGTAGGAGGGAAACTGGAAGCAGCATTGCTTCGTGTTTCCCAGGCTCCTCAGTATCACTTCAAGGAAAAGTTCCGCATTCCCCAATGGGTTGTTTGTCATTGCTCCTAATTGCATATCCCCACCCCATTAATCAATAGTTATGCTTTTGATGTTCTAGATCTGGGATTTCCAACACTGTGCCCTGTGGATGTTGTTGGGCTAGGACTCTCATTAGGCCCTGACCTTTGGCCATGCAGGCTGAGGCTCATGGGAACTGGAGCGCCACAACAGCAGCTTGAGGCACCTTGTTGGCTATCCCTGTTCTAGACTGGGGAAGGAAGAGAGAAGGAACAAGTGCTGCTTTTTGGGTCCCTTAGATCTGCATTCCAGGCCTATCTCAGGCCTGCATCTGTGATAACATTGGTAAAAAGATTATGGAGCTTACGACATTCATGTGAACCTCAGGATTTACATCTCTTCTCCTCCTACTCAATTCTTCTGAGCCTCCAGTTGCTTGTATTAGGCAAGCGATGGCAACAAGCCACCACATCTTCTGTCTATGTATTGTTTGTAAAGGTGGTGTGGAAGAGGAGAAAACAAGACAGGGTGAGGAAATCTCACAGCTATCACTTCACAAGTAATGCTGACAAAATATATACACTTTAATAATTTATTCCAAAAATATATGAACAGCTCTACATTCAAAGAATACCTCAGTACCATACAAAAAACCCAAAAAAACTTTTAAACCTTGTGCAAATGATAAAACAGTATTAAAAACACGAAACCAACATGGCAGAACCTGAGCAGACTAATTTGGGGATAAAAGTTTTCAGCCAACGTCTAAATATATAGAAATGTTGAAGCATGTTTCCTTTCAAGGAGAAGATGATTCCAGGGATCTGGAGCCACAGTACCTAAAGGCACCAGTTTACTTAGGATATCACCTTACGCCACATGTGCCTACTTGACCACTTCACATAATATCCACATAATATCCACACATCTGTAAGAACTCGATCTTTCCGTGTGGCAGCGCTAACACTTTGGAATTCCCTGCCTCTTGATATTAGGCAGGTGCCTTCAACGTGTTCCTTTCAGCGCCTGCTGAATACATTCTTATTTAGACAAGCCTACCCAGGTTTTTAAAAAATTTGTACGAGTTTCAGTTTATTTCACTGTAGTTTTTACTTTCTATATGTTTTAAATTATGGTGCAATTTTGGGGGGATAATTTTATTTTAAAAAATATTTTTTAGCAAACCGTTTTGAAGTTTTTCTATATAAACAAGCAGTACTTAGATTTTATGAACTAACTAAATAAAACACATGCCTGAGTTGCAGCATGTTCTACCTACAGGGACTGGGCAGAGGCAGCAGTGTAGTTAGCCGCTCGGGTGCCCAGGGTGGCACGCGCACCCTGCAGTTGGGGGCAGAGCAAGCCACCCATGGGGGCAGGGCAAGCTGCCATGGGGGCGGGGTGAGCCAAGATCCAGTGCCAAGGGCCTTCTGGCAGTTCCTTCATTGTGAGAAGTGAGGTTACAGGGAACCAGACAGAGGGCCTTCTCAGTAGCAGCACCCACCCTGTGGAACGCCCTTCCATCAGATGTGAAGGAAATAAGCAGCTATTTTATCTTTAGAAGACATCTGAAGGCAGCCCTGTTTAGGGAAGTTTTTAATATTTAATGCTTTATTGTTTTTAACACTTGATTGGGAGCTGCCCAGAGTGGCTGGGGAAACTCAGCCACATGGGTGGGGTATAAATAATTTATTATTATTAATTATTAATTATTAATTATTATTATTATTATTATTATTATTATTATTATTATTATTATTATTAATATTATTATTACTACTGCGTGGAGCCTCTCCGCAGCCTCCCCCTCAGCTGTAGGGCGGCTGAAGCGGTGGGCAGACTCAAGCCCCCTGCTGCTTAAAAAAGATGTGCAGAGCTTGAAGGCAGTCAGCCTGCTGCTTCCCCCTCAGGAGAGACGCGTGGCTCAGGCCCTGCAGTGTGGTGCCCAGTGCCCCCTGCCTCACCTAGCTATGCCTCTGGATTAGGCAGATTCATGGAGGAGAGAGCTGTCGAAGGCTACTAGCCATAAAGGCTGTTCTCTCCCTGCAGAGTTGGAGGCAGCAATGCTTCTGATTTCTGGAAATCACTCGAGGGGAGAGTGCTCCTGCAGTGGCATAGGAAGGGGTGTGTGTTGAATGGTCTCTTTAAATTTGAAGGTTCATTATTGTTCCACAAGATGTATATGTCTTTAAGGGCCAGAGCAAATAACATGACCTAGTTTTACAGCTGTGAAGCAGTATAGCAGGTGCTGTTAAGTTGTGTTAATTAAGCTGTGTAAGCAATTGGTATAGTATATAAAGAGCAGCACCTAGCTCTCTCAGTACCCTGGTGGTTGGGTCGGTCATGCTTATTGATATATTTAGTGTAAAGGAGTTTTTGTTTTTGTTACTAAAACCTAGCTAAAGTTATTTTGCGTTCCTTCTAATGTGTGGTTCCCTCAGCAAGCTCTCTGCAGCACAACTAGTCTGCAAATAGCCAACAACTTTGGTTATGGGCCCAGCTGCTGAGTGGATGACTGCACATTTTTGGACTTTGAGAAAGGTTTGAAAACTCCTTCTCCTGTTGGTGTGGTACTGTGGGTCTGGAAAAGTTCCAGAATGGTTGACCGGGTTCCAGAAGCTGAGAAAGCTCTGACCTTCCCACAGCTGTCAAACGAGAACTACAGTTTATGGTCATTTCGGGTGGAGGCAATTTTGACCTCTGGGGAAGTGTAACTGATGACCCTCCTGACCCTGTAACTAATGCTTGGTCGAAAGGAGATGCAAAAGCCAGGGCAATAATTAATTTGGCAGTCAGCGACCAGCAAATAGTCTATATAAGGAATAAGAAAACTGCCAAAGAAATGTGGGACAGTCTTGCAGCAGTACATATTAGAAAAGAGTCCCTTGATGAGGACTTTGATGGTGTAGCTAGCCAGATATCTGCTGTTCCACCAGCACAATTAACTGTGGAAGGGGTAACGGCAAGATTAATGGGCGAGTTGGACAGAAGGGAGGCTTGCGCAATAAGCACTCCTATTTCCAAAAATAATAAGGAACACCATATGCAAACTTGTGGTGATACGACTGCATTTAAAGTTGCCAGGCGTTGTTGGTTCTGCAATAAACAAGCACATTTTGCAAAGGATTGCAGATCCAATAGGAAGCAAAGTACTCCTAAGTCTGTTTCTGTTCGTCAATCACGGTCGTCAGCCCAGCAGCCGACACCATATCATAAAGAAAGAAACGAGCCGCGAGCTTTTCACGCTACAACAACTGATCGTAAAAGAATTAAAAGTGCCAAGTGGAATTATTTTACTGTGGACTCTGGAGCATCCCAGCATATTTGCAATGATCAAACTTGTTCATTTCTTTCAAAGAGGAAATTGGTAATGTACATTTAGCCAATTTACAAGTCTTGCAGTTGCTTGGCAGGGGTACTGTTAAACTTGACACTTTAAACATTACGATAGCGAACTGTATTTACTGCTCATCAGTAGATAACTTATTGTCAGTAAGGTGTTTTGCTCGTCAAGGCATAACTGTGCGAGTTTTTCGATGGGAACAAACGTCTATTGTATACCTGGGACTCTGATGGTTTATATGGACTGCATTTTCGCACCTACTCACAATCACCTATAAATTGTAGAGCAGCACAGTCAAACCAGGGGTTGAGGACTGTAAGGCCACATTCCGGGTGTGTCCATGAAGCACACAGACTATTAGGACATCTGAATTTTGCTGATGTAATTAAGACAAAGAATATTGTTAATGACCTCAACTTAAAGCCATGTAAATTCTTTATGCAATGCCTATCCTGTTGCAAGAATAAGATTAAGGTTGCACACAAGGGTAGATGCTCAGACAGAAAAGTAACTGAGCCATTTGAGCGTCTACATTATGATTTAGTTGGGCCACTCCCATCATCATTAGGAGGTTCTAAGTACTGGCTTACTCTCATAGACCAGTATAGTAGATATTGCTGGACTTATGAAATAGCTGAAAAGTCACAAACATTTGAAAAGTACAAAGTTTTTTGCAGCTGGGTAAAAACACACTTTAACAAACCTATTAAGAACCTGTTTTCTGACTGGGGTGAGGAATTTGTTTCTGAGGTTTTTGAGAATTTCCTGGAAGCGCAGGGGACTACTCATGAGTTATCTTGCCCCCGAAGTCCCTGACAAAATGGGCTTGTTGAGGTTTTGCAGCGTGACTTGCAGGCAGGGGTTAAAACTTATCTGCACGATGCTATTCTGCCCAAAGTTCTTTGGGCTGAAGCAATGCTTTTTGCTATGTTAAAAATCGTAGTTATCATTCTAGTTTAGATGTCACCCCCTATGAGATGTTGTTTAAAAAACGCCCTAATCTGAAATACCTACGCATTTGGGGTTCAGATGTAATTATGCATTATCCCGCTAAGCAGAAATTGGGTGAGCGTAGTGTTCAGGGAAAATTAATGGGCTACCAGCAGGGGGCGTACAGAATTTACATACCAGCAACTGGCAAATTTCATATTACCAGACTGTAAATTGGAATGGAGTTGCTGTTTTACAAGATACTAACAGTATAGATAATACTGAGGGAGGAGGAGGAGGAGGGAATAATAGTGATTCTGAATTAATGGAAGAAGATGAAAAGCCTGTTGAATCTGGTAATTTGTTTGATGATTTAAAGTTACAGGCACCCGAAGGGAGGTTAATTTCTCTTGAGTTTTCTGACCGTGAGCTTAGCCTACAGACATCTCTTCAGTCTGACAATGATGATTTACAACCTGAAGCTAGTAGTTTACTTAGTCCCATTAAGTCTGAGGAGTCTGACTCTCCTTCCAGACTGAGACGTTCAGATAGAAAGAGACAGAAGCCACAATGTTTTGCAGATGAACATTTTAATACTGTGTATGCCAATAAGGCGATTTTTGAGCCAAAAAGCTACAATGATGTTCAGAATTTACCTAAGCACCAAGCTGTAAATTGATATAAAGCTATGAACTCTGAGATAGCTTCTTTAAAAGAGCATAACACATGGTCTCTTGTACCACAAACACCAGATATGAGACTTATTGATTCAAAATGGGTTTATAGAGTTAAAATGAATGACAAAAATGAAGTTGTAAGGTACAAGGCTAGATTAGTTGCTAGGGGTTTTCAACAAATTCCAGGCGAAGATTATGATTTGTGTTATTCACCAAGTGTAAAATATGAAACAGTTAAGTTTTTGTTAAAAGATGCATCACAACGTGGACATTCTAGTTATCATTTAGATATAAAAACTGCAGATTTGTTTGCAGATTTAAAAGACCAAATTTTTATGCGTGTTCCTGAAGGCATAGACGTCGCTGAAGGTTTGGTATGCAGATTAAATAAATCCCTTTATGGTCTGCACCAAAGTGGAAGGAATTGGCACCAAACTTTAGCAAAAGAATTGCTGGATATTGGTTTTTCGCAAAGAAAGGCAGACAATTGTGTGTTTATAAAGGAAAGGGCAAACTCTGTAACAAAAATATGTGCGTATGTAGATGATGTGTTAATTTCTACAAGAACTAAACAGGGATATGAATAGGTAGTATCACAGTTACAGAATAAATTTGATGTGGTGGAATTACGCATAACTAAAAATTATTTATCCATGCAAATTGAGAAAGGCAAAAATGGATCTTTTCTGGTTCATCAAACTGCAAAAATTGATGATCTTGTTGAAATGTTATGTTTATAAAATGCGAATGGGAAGGAAACGCCTATGGTGTGTGGTTTCACCTTTACAGGTGAAGATAAGCCATTTCCTAACAAAACTTTGTATTGTTCTGCTATAGGCAAGCTAAATTTCATTCAAAGAATCTCGAGACCAGATATTCTCGAGCTCTCTATAAGCTCTCTGCAGTGCAACTAGTCTGCAAATAACCAACAGGGTGCAGTGGGTGCGGGAGTCATTTTTTCAAAAACACATATTTTTGCCATTGTGCTAGTCCTGGGGGGAGGTTACCATGGGGCAGGGTCCAGGACCTGAGTCAAGGGTTGGCAGACAGTCCTCCACGGGCGAAGCGGGGTCCAAAGCGAGGAGCCGGGCAAGGACAGGAACTCTGGAGGAACAGGACTGGGTGCTGGCCGAAACAGCTCTTCAACGACATTGATCCCGCAACCTGGGACCGGGCTGACTGGCCTTTATCTTCTCTGAGGCCAGCGGCGGTCCCGGCCCCCAGGTGACCCGCCTCTTCTGGCCTTAAGGCGAGCACTCCTCCTGGGAGAAACCAGTTCCCTCCACCTCTCTGCCCTGAGCCTCTGCAGCTCAGGAGAGGCTGGAGGGTTACTGGACCCAGGGGGAGACTCACCTTCCCCTGACAGGGCTGGGAGAGGCACACCTATAGGCAATGTGTCCTCAATCCCCTCCGGAGCCAGAGTAGATTCACCTGGTGCCTGCTCCTGAGGATCTGGCACAGGTGCAGGTGCCTCAGAGTCAAGGTGCTGCCCCAGCTCAGCTGGCCCTGGAGGCGGGGACTCCTGTGCAGGCTGGAGTTCCTCCAATTCGGCTTCTGAATCGGATTCCCAGGCAATCACAGCCATTTTGTCACCTCCCTCAGTGATGACACCCGGGGCGGACCACACCCACCGCACCCCCTTCTTATGCCACTGGGCAGAGGAGGAATAGTGGAGACCACCTCCCCAGCCTGACCCTTCCAGAGGAAGACAGTTTAGATTTACAACATGGGTTTGAGGGAGGTCACAGCTCAGAAGCAGATGAGGGGAAAAGTTGGGAAATAATGGAAGAGGAAGAGGCTGAGCCGGAGCAGCTGGCTGACACATGATCACTAGAAAGCATTCCAGACCCACCATCTCCCAGAACCCGGCGAGCCTTGAAAGTAGGGAGTTACTGGTAGCAGCTTGACAGGTAGATGGTACCATGAACAAATTTAACAAACTGGGGGAGGCTGCAGGAGGAGAGGCTGCTTCTCAGATACCCTAGTCCAGAACTATTTAGGGCTTTATAATAGTGTATAATCGTGAATCTAGCCTGGCAGTAAACTGGCAGCCAGAGCAATGCTTTCAGCAAAGGAATCACTTGTTGCCAATAGGCTGCCTCAAAGATCAACCATGCACTTATACTGTTTTGCAGCTTCTGCTCCAAAGTGAAGGGCAGCCCCAGGTAAAGTACACTGAAGAAATTAAATCTGGAAGTTATCAATCTGTGGCTCACTGTTGCCAACTTATCTCTCTCGAAGAGCAGCCACAGCTGGCATACTAGTCAAAGGTGGCAAAAGGGACCCCTAGACACTGGAGAAAACCAGCAGTGCATCATTCATATATGCACAATAACTAATTTTGTGTGGCTGGTTCTGAATGATTGGGTCATATTTATAAAGAACTTGGCACAAGAAGGTAAAAATTCTCTGGTAGAAGGGAAACAGCAGAGCAACATTTTGCCACATGAAGCCACACAGTGACAGGCTACAAATTCATATAAGCAAATTAATATTCATTTTCCTAAACATTGCATATTAAACCAGTTAGCTATTGTTTGTGTATGCATAGTAAGAATTGTGTTGCAAATTATACAATATAGTTAACAACTGCCAGCCCTACTGCATCCAGTTTTTGTTTTCATTTCTAGTTTCCATAGCTGCTTACAAAACATGAAAACATATGGGATTCTCTGCAAGATACAAGAAGTGAGAACAGAGTCAGCACAGCTCACATTCTCTATGTGCACTTGTTTGTAATCTTTGGAGCTGCCTTTGTTTTAAGTCTGGGATGCTTAAGTTCCGCCTCTCTAGACAGTTCCCATCCTTACTGACCATTGGCCTTGGGTTGCCATGAGTTCCCCATACCTGCTTAAACTTTCTTTCAAAAAATATTAACAACTACACCATACCTTGCTATTCCTTACTGAAACCCTTGAAATGGAGCCAAACAAAAAGCAAAAATAGAGTCAAGGAACATATTACCAACCAGAGTCCTCTTGCTGTGTTCAACAGGAGCAGGATTTTTGAATGAGTTCCACAGCATATAATATTGTTGGTGCCTTCTTTAGCGATAAGACTCGACTGGCAGAGCCTTCTATATTTTGCTGGGAACACCCAACTAATACTTGCATCAGATGTTAAGGAAATAAATTCACATGACAGGTGATGTGTAGTAATGCACTTGGCAACTCACAGTCATGGCAGAGGGAATGCATCCACAAGGCAGCTGTGGAATCTGGGGTCACTCCATTACATGGAGGATAGCGAGCAATGGGATTTTGTGCCTTGAAAACGACATGATGCAAATCTATGCTTCCCCGAATTACTAATATTCTGCACAAATGTTCATAAGGTGTAGAGCCCATGTTTTGGAAATGAATTCCCATGCCGCTAAAGTGATCTGCTTAATAAACGATTTCTTGTCATGCCTCTGCCATTAGCCTTTTAGCAACCCTTAAGTTTTATGCCACAGTTCCTTTGTCATTGCCACATGTACACATGCCATTACTACACGTACCACATGTTGGATACATATGCTTCAGCCAGGGGCAAACTTTGGTCTTTTAAATTTCACTGGCACCCTGTGTGAGACCAAAATTTGGTACCCCTTCACCTTCCGTTCTGGGTGTGTGCTACATCATAGTTGTGGCACCCTGCGGCACCCCTCTTGGTTCAGCACCCAGTTTGGGGGGAATTGGTCATGCTTCCCTAAATCTGCCTCTGCTTCAGCCTAAGCTCATGTTTAATGTGCCATATTTATGGTACATTCATGACAGCAGCATCATTTATTTGACAGCCAATTTTCTTTGCAAATCAAATCCCTGCAAGTTAAGTTGAATGCATCATACCTACATCTTTACACTTTCCGGCACCACCATTGTCACATGTGTGTGTGCCCATGTCTGCAGGCATAGCACTGGTGTCAGGAGTGAACAGGTCATAAATCACACTGTGGAAGTTTGTTAGCAAAACACTATCCTCGCAGACTTACTGCACTGTCAGGCCTAATTAACACAGCAACTCATTCCTGGTAGGTCTTGCCTCCATGAAGCAGTTGCTGAGGCTGAAGGTCTCCTCCTCTCCAAGGCTTTACCCAAGCAATCAGAGACTGTATCTACATGGAACCTATCTCTCCTCCACCCTTTTCATGCCTCTTCTGATTCTGGGAGACCAGGGGGGAAGGGGGCTTATGCAACAGGAGGAGGGGACACCCATGACTCTTCACCAGTCTCTGCCTCTTGGCCTCCCTCCTCTCTTGCATTAGCTTCTGCCTCTGATTCTGGACTTTTCTCTCCCCAGACTATCCCAGCTCACTAAGCCCTGTTACCCCTTATGACACCACCTCATCCCAGTCTTCTCCCTCTGACCACTCATTGTTGTCCCATCATCCCTCCTCAAGCCCTGAGCTTTCATTCCTTGGTGGTTCCCCAGCTGGTGGCTCCCACCATTCTTCTGTATCTCACCAGTCCGGGACAGCTAGACAGGTAAGGAGTTAGCTCAAATACTTCGGTTACTCCAACAGTGCAGAGGCAGCAAGGCCATTTTTTCCTCATTGCTAATTTCACACCATGTAACATTCTACAATTATAAACAAGAACACTGTTGTGCATGCACAAAACTGCAAAGATTACTCTCTGTGCTCCCTTTCTGACCTCTTAACTGTCATTACATATCACTTAAGGCCTTTCCCCATTCATGAACTCTTGTAAAACCTGTCCTAACTGGTTTCTGAAACAGTGTGTTTTAGTAAAATGAAGGTCTCTGTGTGTTTCTATATGAATGTCATGCAAAAGAATCTCATCCTAGATTGGCGCCCGCCCTGTGGAACGCCCTCCCATCAGATGTCAAGGAAATAATCAACTATCTGACTTTTAGAAGACATCTGAAGACAGCCCTGTTTAGGAATGGTTTTATTGTTTTATGTTTTATTGTGTTTTTAATATCCTGTTGGAAGCCGCCCAGAGTGGCTGGGAAAACCTAGCCAGATGGGCGGGGTATAAATTATTATTATTATTATTATTATTATTATTATTATTATTATTATTAGTGAGCAGCACAATCACTTTGGGATGGAGTTCCTCCAGGATCCATTTCCAAGTCTTTTCTATTTCTATATTGATCACTTCAACACATCTGATGATTTTCATTTCAACACCACTCATATATTGGTAACACCCAGCTTTACCAAAACATCCCTTCTCCATTCTGTCCTGTGGCTCCTGCTGCTTGCGGCAAGATTACTGCTTGGATGTTTCACGGGGTTGCACAGGTGAGCCTGGTCATTTACTACTTAAACTACAGAAACCTGTTCCTCCCTTCTGCTGTCATGCCTCAGGGTTCTATCTTGAATGCTACCACTAAAATACCAGCGTCTGAGCATGTGAGAGCCATCCTTAGATTCTTATCTGAGCTTCCTGTTTGCTCATATGCCTTAGCCCTTTTCAGTCATTCCTCCTGCACATGTGAGTCAAAAGTGCATGTTTTGGCCCTGCCCCCAACATCATCATAAGACCATAATAATAACCGTCAGGGACCCCTGACCATTAGGTCCAGTTGTGACTGACTCTGGCGTTGCTGCGCTCTTTATTGGCCGAAGGAGCAGGCGTACAGCTTCCGGGTCATGTGGCCAGCATGACTAAGCCGCTTCTGGTGAACCAGAGCAGTGCACAGAAACGCCGTTTACTTGGCGGGAGCCAGAGCGGTACCTATTTATCTACTTGCACTTTGACGTGCTTTCGAACTGCTAGGTTGGCAGGAGCAGGGACCGAGCAACGGGAGCTCACCCCGTCGCGGGGATTCAAACCGCCGACCTTCTGATCGGCAAGTCCTAGGCTCTGTGGTTTAACCCACAGCGCCACCCACATCCCAATAATAACCGTGTTGACCAGCAAAACCTAACTGTCACCGTCCAGTAAGCAGGAACTAGGCCTCACACATAACAATAAAATCTCTATCAAGCTGCATTTATTATCCTTGTAGTACTAAGATAAAGATGTGGTCTTCCCCAAATGAAGGTTGTGTATTCTTTACTTCAAACGAACCTTACGAAACTGAATAGTAAACCAGAAGAAACAGACATTATCAGGGTCAACAAACAAGTCTTTTCACCATGCCATATAGTTGTTGGTATGCACATTTTTTCTATGTCATACGAGGGAGGCTAAATCTTAAAAAGGGGAAGGTTAATGGAGTATTTCCAAAACAGACCCACTGAAATGAGTGACTATGGGTAAGTTAGGGGCATTCAATGGTCTACTGTGAGCAAAATTTACTGGAATACAACCCCATGGAGAAATAGCATGGCCAGAACACTTTGGGCACATGAAGAGGGAAGATGCCCCACATTATTAGTAAAAAATATCTGAAGCAGTGGAAATATTTGCAGGGTGGGTGGCCTCACATGTGCTGTGCATTTCTGTACACCATGTCCTTGTTTTGCTGCAGACACAGGAACTTTGATTTCAGTCGTACCTTGACTATACAGTCGTACCTTGGCTTTTGAACAGCTTAGCTCATGAACAACTTGGAACTCGAACACCGCAAACCTGGAAGTAGATGTTCCAGTTTGCAAACTTTGCCTCGGAAGCTGAACATCTGACGTGGCTTCCACGGCTTCCTGCAGCCAATCGGAAGCTGCGCCTCGGTTTCCTAATGTTTTGGAAGTTGAACAGACCTCCGGAACACATTCTGTTCGAAAACCAAGGTAGGACTGTAGTTCAGTGGTAGAGCACTTATTTTGAGGGCAGAGAGTCTCAGGTTCAGCCCTGAACCCTGACTGGTAAGATTGGGCCCAAAAAAGTCCCCTATTACTGCTAGTCCGTGTAGACCAGCAGTCTTCAACCTTTTCAGACCCAGGACCCATTTGTAACCCAAACATGAATTTGAGGACTCATTTCTTTAACCATACATTGGCATGGTGGTAGTGTTCCCCTTGCGACCTACCTTGGACCAGGCCACCAGGTGAAGACCAGGGGTGCAGACAATACTGAGCTGGGGTGAGTTAATTTGGTTTCTCTCAGTTTCTCATTTTCACAAACTTCAGTTCAATTCTCCACATTTCCACATCTGGTTTTGATTTTTTTTTTAAAAGCCCTCGTGAAAATTCACCAGCATCTTAGTGCTCGTTTCTCCTAATGTATGCTTTTAAAATATACTGTGTAATATAACATTTTTGCAAAGTAATTTCCCCTCATAGAATGTGCTTGTGCACTATTTTCACTAACAGATGCATTAATTTTTTTACACATTACTTGACTGGATTAATGTGCAAATTGGAATTTAGCTTTTAAAATGACACCTCCCTTGTTCTCTCATAATGGCAATAGCGCCCACTTCTTCTTATTTCTTATTCTTATTTCTTCTTGTTGTTTTCTTACTGTCAGGGGCTCAGGAGCAGAGGCACAGGGGAGAGAGGAAATGGAGAGCGAAGGGGAAGAATCTGAGGGCAGCGTAGGGGAGTATGAAAGTGGCCCGAGAGATTCCATGAGTTTCTCCAGTGAATCAGAAGATTCCCAGAGGGGGCGCCAATGGCCAGGGCAAGGGGGGTCCCAGGGGGGACACACCAGAAGCAAGGGGCCAGCGAGGACTCCCAAAGCAGCAGCGGGAGAGCAGGACCAGCTCCTCCACCAGAGCGTAGTGAGGGGGAAGAGTCACATGTATCAGGGCCAGCTTCTCCTCCAGCAGGGAGAGAGGATGAGTCAGGGGTGGCCACGCCTCCATCGCAGAGTGAGGGAACGGAGGGAGAGTCAGGTGCAGCTAGCCTCCCTGAAGGGGGAAGCAGTGACAGGAGCAGTGTAACGGTCCAGGAGAAAGGTGGCCGGCTGGGCGCGCGCGCCAAGTTCGAATGTACAGGCGCGCGGCACAGCAGGAAACCCGGATTGGGAACCAGGTCCTAAAGCCCGCCGGAGGGAGGGGGAGGACTCAGGAGACTCAGCGTCAGAAGAGTCTAGGAGAGGCGAGACCCCAGCGGACAGGCGGGCCCAGAGGAGAAGAGAGCAACGGAAGAGGTGGAGCAAGGCTAGAGTCTTAAACTGGTGCCTGGGGGGAGGAGATTCAGACGGAGCTTCGGCGGTCTAGAGT